TCTGTCACTCATCTGGTCCATCTCTACGTATTGTATGTGTGCGTGGCTGTCGGTGACTCTGTGTGTGTGTGTGTGTGTATGTGTGGCTGAAAATCAGTGAGAGAAGGGCAACAGGGGAGTGAGAGTGAGAGAGAGAGGGAGAATGAGAGAGGTGGGAGAGCTCGATGGGCAAACACTGTGTCATGATGAGCTAGAGCGTGTTGTTTCTTTGGCAACTTTGTGCAGCACACTGGGAATATTCTAAAAGTTTGGGCTACAATCTGCAGCAGTTTGAATAATTCTTCCATCCTCCCTGAAGGTAATGTTTGCATGTGGACACATTCATATTTTTAATATATTTAACTCATAGGTTATTATTCTTTGCCTGTGGATTTTCTTTAAGCAAACGTAGAGATTACTACTTACATTTGTTTCTTCTACATAACAAATTTATATTGCATTGCCTGTCCTTTAAATTTGCAGAAACTCCACTTGTGCTTTCATCTTGTGAAAGCATTTTACATTCAATCCAGTTTTATACTACTGTGCTGCTTAATATTGTGTAAAAAAATTACACTGTGCTGCTTAATATTGTGTAAAAAAAATAACAGTTTAAAGGTTTTGTAACCTTAAAACAAAGAAGTGAATTTTTTTTCCCATTGTTTCGTTTCATGTGCTCATAGTGTGTTATACGTATAGTTTCTAGTTTCTTTTTATCTTCATTGGTTCTACTGCTATAGAAGTCTTATCAGTGGCTGTTTGCTTTTCTTTGTGCACTGCTGTTTGAGCACGGGCGTTTATGACTACACTTGGTAGTAAAAAAAAAAAAAAAGAAAAAACCTGCGGGCATAACAAAATCATAATGTTTTTAAAAAGTAATAGTTTTTTTTACCAGTACTTCAGTCATATTCAAACAACTACTAGTATTAGTTTGAATTTGACTGAAAGCGTTTGATAAGGTAAACATCTCTGCTGTAGAAGTTTGCTGTGGTTTTAAGTGAAGACTCACATGGGAAATAAAGCCACTGCTGAGACAGCGAAATGATAATTGCTTTCATCAGGAAGTCGGTGTAGTTTGTATGAAACAGATGTTTTTGTTGCTTTACCCTTGTTTCTCTGTTAATTCTGGGTCCAGACTCAGGACAGGCAACATCTTTGTTGTGTTGTTTTCACTTGTCAGTGTGGAGGGAAACGTCGTGATCAGTCAAAGTGCCGTACGCTCGCTCTCAATTAAGAAAAACAGAAAATGGAGTTTTTCCTACAGTAAAAAAACTGGAACTATAAACATGTGGATCCGCACGTTCACATGGTTACTCACATGGTCACTCACATGGTGACGGCATTCTTTAATCCTATTTCTGTACAGGGTACTTCAAATCATCTCCTCCTGGTTCTGTAAAACTTGTGCAGAACAATTGTGAACTCACTGGTCCCTCACAAAGTCACCCTAATAGACACGTTAATGTAAAGTTAATGTGATTAAGTTAATGTCCTAGAGTATTAACATAATGACTGAGGTCTGTAGAAACGTCATTAATGTCTGCTGTCTTACTTGAGGTCAGTCGATCAACTTTAAGTTGCACGAAAGTTACAGATTTAGGAATAGACTTTTTTTTACCAAAAAAAATTAAAATTCTGTTAATTTCTGCTATTCAAAGTTTTTTGTCTTTTTACACGGGGCTTAATTCTGCTTTCTATCTGCTTTCGTTGAAAAGTTTTCATGAGTTTTCTCAAATTGCCCACAGATCAGATATCACGTTATGCAACTTAGGTTGATGTGAAATGAGAAACTCGAGACAACGCTTCGTAAATCAGCGTGTTCTGAGATAAACCTGTGCGGTCGTAGTGGAAACGTGAGAAGAATGTTTCCTTTTCTTGTTTGTTTCAAACGGTCTTTTATTCAGGTTTAAACAGTAGGTTTCACACACAGTAAGACAAGCAGTTATGTTTTATCAAAATATAAAAACAAATATTTACTCCCAACTTTTATAGATGTGTTAGAAAGTAGAAGCCAAATATTCTTGGCACTAATTTGTACACGTTCTCCTTCTTTGTTGCAGTTTCTGAGCGTCACATCCAAGATTCATTTTACTCCCTTCTTCACCACATAACCTTTGAAATTCCCTTGGATTTCCCTCCGAGCTCTCCCTCTGACTCCCTCTTGCTCAACGCGTTACCCTTCTCTCCAACATTCACACACGTCCCCTTATCCCGGCCCCATCTTCCTCTCTCCTCTCCCCTGTTTCTCCTCTACCTGTCCAAGAACAGTCTGGTGTTTCCCCCCCCGCACGAGTCCTTCTCCCCCACAGGTCAGTCCTCTCACTCTCTCTGTTCCCCTAATGGGCACCATATCAGGTACCTTGACCACATTCCCTTCACTGTCACTGAAATCCTCCATCCACCCCTAACCACCCTCGCCAAAACAACCTCAGCATTCCAATGGAGACAAAAGAAACGATGATGATGAACACGTTTTCAGAGGACAAGGCAGAGAAAGAAGGAGACAAGGTCAAAGAGGGAGAGCAGTTTGGGGAGGAAGAGGTGGAGACACAGCAGGAAAATGGAAAGCTGATGCTGGCCGATGGTCTGGCAGAGAAGGGACCCAAGAGCCTGACCTCAAACTCTGGACAGCAGGTTTCCAATGGTTTCACTGCATCTACTCCACCAGGGACTGGGGATTGCCCTGGGGGTCCAACCTCTGGTCCTGTTGCTGGAAGTGGATCCCCTCTGCCTTTGGGGACCTTCAGGACTCTGGTGGTCCAGCAGACCAGCTTGGAGAGGCCCAGAGAAACCTGGAGCAAGAAGATGGACTTCCTGCTGTCCGTAATCGGCTACGCCGTGGACCTGGGGAACGTCTGGCGCTTTCCGTACATCTGCTACCAGAACGGAGGAGGTGAGGAGACAGGAGGGGTTCAATGTTCAAAGTTTTATGTCTGAGTTCTCGTGCGTGTTTGTCAGGATTAACATAATTAAGTCAGGTTTTATCTTTACAGTTTTATTTCAGTATTTCAGTTTTGTCTCAATGAACTTAGAAATATTTCAGTTTTGTCTCAATGAACTTAGAGACAAAACTGAAATACTAGAATTGAAATTTAAATATTGTCCTAACCACCTCTGAAAAATATTCTGAGGAATGTTTATACAGTCGATCTTTACATTAACAATTGACAGTGAAGGGAATGTTTATACAGTCGATCTTTACATCGACAGTGAAAAAGAATCAGTCTTTGTCATTGTTTAGTTACTAAACTGTACTGTAGTCGTATTCATTAATTACAGCATCATTTCATGTCTTTTTCTGTTTAATTTAGTTAATCTTTAATCCTTAAATTACTAATGTAACTGACACTTTGTCTTAGAGTAAATATTACCAGTGAGTATAAAAATGTGGGGCAAGAGCAAATTCTACACTCCCTTTTTTTCACTTTTCTTTTTTTTGTAAACTGAAGACAGTTGTTGTTGTCGTTGTTGTTGTCGTTGTTGTTGTCATTACTTCATTCAGACAAATATGAACAACATGATTGGAATCAGCAGCTTTACTTTTTAGTTTTATTTAAATTAAAGTGGCGTCCATTTGTAAAACAACACAACTCAAGCTAAAAAGCTAAAAAATGTTACAAATAAAGACTTCCTCCTGTCTGGAGTTGTGAGCATTGTTTTGAAAAGCCATTAAATGTGTGGGCTCCACCTGTGTGTCGCTGCAGTCCTCACCTTGCACCAAACAGGGCCTCCCCGTCCACATTTATTGAATTTGCAATAATAACATTTTTGCAATTTCCTGTGTTCAGTGTGTGCCCGGCAGAGCGAGGTAGAGATGGAGACGGGGAGACACTTGATAGAGGCGACAGTATTAATTGTGCTTTTTATGAGAGCCCCTGCAGTCTCTTTCACCTTACTTAATAACCTGTCTCCCGAGCAGCTGCTCAATCAACCCTTATCTTGGCTTCCATGTCACCCAGTGTCACACACACACACGCACGCTGTACACCGCCGCCCTTGGCTACGTGCATGCATTCACGCACATAAAATAAGTTGTATAATCTGATCGGGACATAAAATGAAAGCGGTGTGAAATCAAACTCCCGACAGAGAGTCCTGAGACCCGACTGTCGTCCTGCTGCTCTACATCTTGTCTGTTTGCTTTTCCCAAACCCCCCCTTCTTCACTTTTACACATCCTGCACTAAAGCCAACAGTGTAACAGCGCTGATTAGTCAGTGTAGAATTTATTCCCTGCAGTTCCAAAGAACACAGAGTGATTTAAAGTGAGGGAACAATACCGTGTTGTTGTAAGTGAATGGTCCAGTGTTGTAAAAATGATAAGGTTCTTATAAAATGAAATGATTTACACTGAAAGCTGTTTAATGTTCCTGAGTACTTGTTGGTTGTAGGTCACTGGAAGAGCTGTGGAGACTACGTTTGCCCCCAGTGGTGTAGTAGATGGTTCAACTATTCTATAATTCTTGGAACTTTTTTTTTTATTATTATTCCAGCTTCCAATTTTCCACATTAATCATTAACTTTGTTATTTTACACCATTATTTTCTGTCACTGATTCCCATACATATTTCCCCCACTGTGTCTCGCCCAGGTGCTTTTCTGCTGCCCTACCTGTTGATGGCAGTGTTCGGAGGAGTTCCACTCTTCTACATGGAGCTGGCTCTGGGTCAGTTCCATCGGAGCGGCTGCATTTCCATCTGGAAGTACATTTGCCCAATCTTCAAAGGTAATAAAGGGATTAGGAGTAGGTTTAATGAATAAATAAATAAATATAAAAAAATAATACGTAATAAGTAATAAAAGAGGAGTACTTAAAAAACCAAAGCTGAAGAAAACTGTCTCAAGCTCTTCTTAAAAAAACAAAAAAGTTACAGCAGCAGAAGAAATCCAAAGTGTGACTGTGCCAAACTGTCAGTCTGTGAGTCTCATCTCATTTAACCTTCTCATCCTCCACTTCTCCTTGAGGAACATGCCTTACATCTCACCAATCTAGTCAAAGAGCACGCAGCTGTCTGTTATGGAAATCGTCACATTTCGATGCCAAATGCCAGACATTTAACGGGATTCAAATGTTTGTTACTCACAAATGTCAACCACTTCCTCAACAAACACCGTGTAGTGTGAGATACTGTAGCATCATGGGAGTGATGGACGGCTGTCACGTACAGTTTGTTCATAACTTTAGTCTTTGTGAAACCTAATGATGATAACGATTCCCTAATTCAAACTAATGAGCTCAGGAATGTGATGTACGTGAGAGTCTTCACCTGAAACTATCCTCTTCCTTCCATCCAGGAATCGGCTTCGCCATCTGCATCATCGCCCTCTACATCGCCTTCTACTACAACACCATCATGGCCTGGGCCCTGTATTACCTGCTCTCATCCTTCCGGTCCACTCTGCCCTGGTCCACCTGTACCAACAAGTGGAACACTGCCAACTGTAACCGCTACATGTCCACAGATTCCAACGTGACGTGGTCCAACTCCTCCACCTCGCCGGCCGAGGAGTTCTATATGTAAGTGCATGTAAGTCGGATGTGGGGACAAAGAGGGGAAGAGTGAGGGGGAGAAAGATCGGACTTTATCAACCTGCAGCACAGGTGGGAAAGAGGAAACAGAACTGAGTTCCCCCCCATCCTCCCCCAACCACCCCCACATCGATATATTCACAGTTTCTACTCCAAAATTCCACAGAATTTATTGAAAAACACTTCATTTCTACAAAACTGCAGTTTTATTAAACAAACATAGTAAATGTAAATATGGGTGTAGTTCTCCTACAAACAAAGACAAATATTGAAATCACAATTAATTTCCCTGTAGTTCTCCTACAAACAAAGACAAATGTTGAAATCACAATTAATTTCCCTTCAAATAGCTCCACACCATTTGAAGGGTCCCGCCCCCTACTCCGAGACCCTCATGCCTAAAATGAACGACCTAGAGGTTATTAGATAACTGCGTACTTTAGTATAAGTTCATGGGAAGTCGATGTGTTTCCAGTCCTGTGAAAGTTTTTGAAGGTGTTAATAAGTTCAGTTCAGTTAAGAAAGTTAAGTCAGATAATCATTGGTGACCTGGACTTAACACTTTAGTTCTAGATAAGCACGTTGTCAGCACTTGGTGCAGTCAAATGACTGAAATCAGTTGGACGGTCAGATCAGCTGGGACAGACTTCTGTGTCATTTGAATTCCAGCTTCCGTCTAATTCTCCTCTGCACCGCTCTTATCAGCTGCTCCCATGACCGCGTCTCCATCTGCCCACTGGTCCTGGCTTTATTCAGCGATCACTTTTCCAATTATGTGTTGTAATGTGACAGAACTCCTCAACTCACTCTGGCGCCAGAACTTCCTGTTTTGGAGACCGCGCGCGGCCTCTTGGCCGGTTCCAAACCTCACAGTTCCAAGTTATTACACTATTGTCGAAGGAACTTAAAAATATTGACTCAGAAATGTGACAAGTTCAGAAAAGTTTGCTGTGAGTGATGTATTATTTTCTCCGTCCCCCCGGGGTGAGTCTCATTACAGTGATTTAAAAAACGTGTTGAACGTAGTTGGTCTCAGAGCAACAGTAAAGTCTTTGGAAAGGTTTGGAACCAGAAAGTCTGAACATCTTTTACTACTTATTCAAACGTCTGAATTATTATGTTCTGATGACACTTCGTCACATTTCGATGCCAAATGCCAGACATTTAACGGGATTCAAATGTTTGTTACTCACAAATGTCAACCACTTCCTCAACAAACACCGTGTAGTGTGAGATACTGTAGCATCATGGGAGTGATGGACGGCTGTCACGTACAGTTTGTTCATAACTTTAGTCTTTGTGAAACCTAATGATGATAACGATTCCCTAATTCAAACTAATGAGCTCAGGAATGTGATGTACGTGAGAGTCTTCACCTGAAACTATCCTCTTCCTTCCATCCAGGAATCGGCTTCGCCATCTGCATCATCGCCCTCTACATCGCCTTCTACTACAACACCATCATGGCCTGGGCCCTGTATTACCTGCTCTCATCCTTCCGGTCCACTCTGCCCTGGTCCACCTGTACCAACAAGTGGAACACTGCCAACTGTAACCGCTACATGTCCACAGATTCCAACGTGACGTGGTCCAACTCCTCCACCTCGCCGGCCGAGGAGTTCTATATGTAAGTGCATGTAAGTCGGATGTGGGGACAAAGAGGGGAAGAGTGAGGGGGAGAAAGATCGGACTTTATCAACCTGCAGCACAGGTGGGAAAGAGGAAACAGAACTGAGTTCCCCCCCATCCTCCCCCAACCACCCCCACATCGATATATTCACAGTTTCTACTCCAAAATTCCACAGAATTTATTGAAAAACACTTCATTTCTACAAAACTGCAGTTTTATTAAACAAACATAGTAAATGTAAATATGGGTGTAGTTCTCCTACAAACAAAGACAAATGTTGAAATCACAATTAATTTCCCTTCAAATAGCTCCACACCATTTGAAGGGTCCCGCCCCCTACTCCGAGACCCTCATGCCTAAAATGAACGACCTAGAGGTTATTAGATAACTGCGTACTTTAGTATAAGTTCATGGGAAGTCGATGTGTTTCCAGTCCTGTGAAAGTTTTTGAAGGTGTTAATAAGTTCAGTTCAGTTAAGAAAGTTAAGTCAGATAATCATTGGTGACCTGGACTTAACACTTTAGTTCTAGATAAGCACGTTGTCAGCACTTGGTGCAGTCAAATGACTGAAATCAGTTGGACGGTCAGATCAGCTGGGACAGACTTCTGTGTCATTTGAATTCCAGCTTCCGTCTAATTCTCCTCTGCACCGCTCTTATCAGCTGCTCCCATGACCGCGTCTCCATCTGCCCACTGGTCCTGGCTTTATTCAGCGATCACTTTTCCAATTATGTGTTGTAATGTGACAGAACTCCTCAACTCACTCTGGCGCCAGAACTTCCTGTTTTGGAGACCGCGCGCGGCCTCTTGGCCGGTTCCAAACCTCACAGTTCCAAGTTATTACACTATTGTCGAAGGAACTTAAAAATATTGACTCAGAAATGTGACAAGTTCAGAAAAGTTTGCTGTAAGTGATGTATTATTTTCTCCGTCCCCCCGGGGTGAGTCTCATTACAGTGATTTAAAAAACGTGTTGAACGTAGTTGGTCTCAGAGCAACAGTAAAGTCTTTGGAAAGGTTTGGAACCAGAAAGTCTGAACATCTTTTACTACTTATTCAAACGTCTGAATTATTATGTTCTGATGACACTTATGTTGCTTTGCTTTAAATATATATATGTTTGAATCTTCTGTACTTCCTCACCCCACGATCCTTCTCCACACCATTTAATGTCAACCTTACATTTCCTTGTTCCTTATTTCCCTCGCTGACCCTCTCACTCACACCCTCCTCCCCGTCCAGACGGCAGGTGTTGCAGGTCCACCTCTCTCCAGGTCTGCACCAGCTTGGCTCTGTTAGCTGGCAGCTAGCCCTCTGCCTGCTCTTCATCTTCACCATCGTCTACTTCAGCATCTGGAAGGGAGTCAAGATGTCCGGAAAGGTAACGAGTGGAGCGACGGTCTGATGGAATCAGTGTAATTTGTCTCTTTTCCCAGTTTTGGAATTAGTTTCTTTTAAACAGGATTCTTCAAGTTTCTTCTAGCTTTGTCTCTTTTCCCAGTTTTGGAATTATTTCTTCAAGTTCTTCAAGGATTCTTCAAGTTTCTTCTGTGTCTGAATGAATAAATCCTGAAAGTTTATTTTCACATGATGTTCTTGTCCACCAGGTGGTCTGGGTGACTGCTACCTTCCCCTACCTGGTCCTGTTTGTCTTACTAATCCGTGGGGCCACACTGCCCGGAGCCTGGAGGGGAGTGGTCTTCTACCTCAAACCTGACTGGGAGAAACTACTAAGTACTACAGTGAGTCACTTCAATGCATCAATAAACTGATTTTTTTTTTCTCGATCCCTGTCTGACCTCATCACTCTGTGTCGTCTGTCAGGTGTGGATCGATGCTGCCGCTCAGATCTTCTTCTCTCTGGGTCCAGGCTTTGGGGTCCTCCTGGCTTTTGCCAGCTACAACCCATTTCATAACAACTGCTACAAGTGAGGATGTTTTCTGGGGAGTTTTTTTTTTGTTTTGTTAATATTTGTTTGGTTGATATATAGAGCCTGAAAAATGAGACAATAAATTACCGTTTTACTATTTTTCTTTAATTATAACTATAATAAGTTAATTATTATAGTCACTATAGTTATTTTTTTATTATTATTATATACATCGTACAAAGGGCCAAATTATTGTACAAACACCAGGCAACACTGTTGGCCGTGTAAATGGAAAAAGTTCACATCCAAAAACATATAGTTTAATATTGTATTTTCATTTGTCACTTTTAATGTCACTTTTAAAATGAATTTTATTTTTTTTTACTTTATTTGGACCACTTTGTCCCACTCCCACTCAGAGATGCCTTGGTCACCAGCTCCGTCAACTGTCTGACCAGCTTTCTGTCAGGCTTCGTCATCTTCACAGTGCTGGGATACATGGCTGAGATGAGGAAACAGGAAGTAGACACTGTGGCCAAGGATGCTGGCAAGAAACAATTCAATATTATTGATTAATTCTTTCTCATTGAAGGACACGTTCATAACCAAGTGGAGTCCATCAGTGAATTAGATTTTTAACATCCATGTCCTCTCTGTTTTTACAGGTCCAAGTCTGCTCTTCATCATTTATGCAGAAGCGATAGCCAACATGCCTGCTGCCACTTTCTTCTCCATCATCTTCTTCCTCATGATCATCATGTTAGGACTTGACAGCACGGTACGCTAGATGGTGGCTAAAAACATGTAAACGTTCAAACCGCTGCTCCCATCAGCCTTATTTATGTGGCACACTTTCTCACACACTCACACCTTTGTTCCCACTTTTCCATAAGGCTGAGGACTATGATTTGGTTTCACAGGTTTATTTGGATAACAATCCACAGAAACACTATGATAGGACTCTCGTATCACCGTTGTGTGGCGATCTTGTCTTCATAATTCTGTGTTTTATTGGCTGCGAGGCAGCCAGCTGGAGAGACCTGTGGGGCTCTTATCGCACAACGATAATCAGTTCACGATCAGCATCAGTGTCTCTGGGCTCCTCACTTTATGACTGAGGATATTACTTCAAATCTGAAGTCGCGTGTTCTATTATTTTGTCTCCTGGACTTCTCTGGATGTTTGTTCTGGGTTCAGAAACTTTGACTCTGCTGTGACTGGTACTTCAAACATACTCACGTCTTTGTTTGCTCTCGTCAGTTCGCAGGGTTGGAGGGTGTGATCACAGCTATGTTGGACGAGTTCCCTCATCTACTGGCCAAGAGACGAGAGTGGTTTGTCTTGGGCCTGGTGTGCGTTTGCTACCTCGGAGCTCTATCCACACTCACATACGTAGGTTAAACAAACAAATGTGACATCATCACTGTAGTTATAAAACAACAAACAATAATGTGTTTGAAAGCCATCAGACCAAACATCTGCTGTTCTCACAGATAAACAATGAGCCGTCTGCTATTTGTGATGTTATCAGCCCGATATTAGCACAATTATGTCCCTTTTTTTCTCCTCGGAAACCCGATAACACACACTGTGTGCTTAACACTCCTGCCTCAGGAGCAAAAAGCAGGCAGTCATGGGTTTGATTCCCAGAGGAACCACGTACTTGGCGCCTGCATGGGGCAGCCTGTTGCAGCAGATCTGTTAACACTAGAAGTTCCCAAAGTGTGGGGTCAATAAAGTTCAAATTATTATTAATTATTAATTATTATTAAATAAACTGGAATTACCTGTGGGGACAAGAGACGTTTACCGCAGTTTTGGGGAAAACAACTGCACATATCGGTATCGAAAACAAATAAAAAAATACATATCGGTATCGAAAACAAATAAAAAGTGTAAAAAAAAAACTGTCACAGTGGTAAACAACCTGTGTGAACTTTTGTAAACAAAAACTTTTCTATTCTTAATTACCAACCTGTGTGAACTTTTGTAAACAAAACTTTTCTAGTTAATTCTAAACCCCTTCTCTTCCCTCTCACCTTCCTCTTCCCTCACAGGGTGGAGCATTTGTAGTGAAGCTGTTTGAAGAGTACGCGACAGGCCCAGCAGTCATCACTGTGGTTCTGCTGGAAGTCATCGCTGTTTCTTGGTTTTATGGTAGGCTGAGAGAGTCATGTGATCAATGTGGGATTAACACTATTTTGGTGTCACTTACCCTGATTGTTTTTTGTTGTTGTTGTTGTTGTTGTTGTTGCAGGTACCAACCGTTTCTGCAATGACATACAGCTGATGCTCGGTTTTTACCCAGGAGGCTTTTGGAGGGTGTGTTGGGTTGCCATCTGCCCTTGCTTTCTGCTGGTGAGACTAATCTCCAGTTGTTACTGAGACATTTAAATTAAAAAAAGTATCCTAAAGTTGCAGTCACAGTTTTTTTTAATATATATTTACACTGATGGGTGATGGTCCGTCTGCCTTTCTTCTCTGCTCACGTCCAGTTCATCATCATCAGTTTTTTAGCCTTCCCTCCTGAGGTAAAGTTGTTTCACTATGAGTACTCACAGTGGACCACTGTTCTGGGCTACTGCATCGGAGTTTCCTCGTTTATCTGTGTACCTGCCTATATGGTTTACCACCTGCTCACTACCAAGGGAACATTCAAACAGGTACTGCTGCAGCACCTTTTACTTTTCTGCTTTGGTTTATTAGTCTGTTGGCCTTGAAGTTCCCCCGTAGTCTCCCATAATCTTTTCTGTTCCTTTCCTTTCCTCTCCACTCCCCTCATTTCCTTTTCTTTTTTTCTACCTCTTCTTTCCTTGAGTTTGTTTCCTTTCCTCTCCTTATCTTATCTTAACTTCCCTCTCCTGTTGTCTGTTTTGAGGTCACTGCCCTGAAATCCCACTGAACGTCTGCCTCTTTGTCTTCACAGCGGCTGCTGAAGAGCATCACTCCAGAGCCCAGCAGTGAAAACCACAGAGACTTCATCATCACCAACGCGGTCTGACCAAACTCTGTCTGAAAGAAGGAGCCGCTCCACTGACCCAGAGTGCCCTCCTCTGGGCAAACTGCACACCTACTGGACAAAGGGGCTACTTTTCACCATCTCTGCCTCTTTTCATAAATCTACGTTATTGGTTAATTTTTTATGTTAAGATCTACAGGTGGAGGTGATGGTGGATCGTTTGGTTTCAATCCCTTACTGTAGTGTCGAAACCTCAGAGCAGAACCACACTTTTATTTAACTCACTGAAAACACAGGCAGTGACCAAACCGTCTTCAGGTGAAACTGCTGAGGCTGCGTTTTAATCACAACATTTTCTGTGTTTGTATGAAGGAGAAGTACAGTTACAGTTAGCGCTCTCCGAATTAAGCTCATGATAATCAATTAAAAAAAACACATTATCGGTTTTCCATTTAATCTCAATCTTTATCGTGTTGTCAACTCATTCAATAAAAAAACAAAAAACAAACATGTAGCAAAATATTCAGGTATATTTTTTACACATGTTTCTCAAGCCAAAAATATCTCACGTATTCTGTCAATAATTCTGAAAATGTTTTCAAAACTGTCATAGTCTTTCTTTGGTTTTTACCTCTGATTGGTTCATTGCATCTGTGGAGCTGTGATGGATTTGTGATGACTTCATCACACTGTGAAGCTGTCAGTGTGTGTGTGTGTGTGTGTGTGTGTGTGTGTGTGTTAGACTGTTAGTCTGTAGCAGAATGAGTCACAGACAGAACACAAGACGTTTATTCACTCTATAACTGCAATATAAGATAGTATGTCTTATATACTATACATGTATTTATTTTATTGACCTTTTGACCTTTTAATCCCACTCACTACGACATCAGTGTCACAAGGAAAAAAACCAAATATGGATCAGAGCTAATAACATCTCACGACCAACTAAAAAAAAAAACATCACTGCTTTTTTTTTCCGTTTTACCAAAAAACTGTGTTGTGTGTGTGTGTGTGTGTGTGTGTGTGTGTGTGTGCGTGCATCTGTGGAAGCAGGAGTTAAATATGGCGAGTACTGTACAACTACATGTGATGTGTGTCTGGTATTGATGTTATCTATCCTGTGAAGACCTGTCTACTCCTGCCACTGATGTGTGAGTGTGTGATCACTTCCTGTGTGTGTGTGTGTGTATGTTCAGATGTGTGAGTGAAGTTTCTCTTGTGTGTGTGCGTGTGAGAGACGTGTGTGTGTGTCTGTAATGTGATGGAGCTCCTGTTGTCTTGTAAACAGTTTATAAATTGTAGTTAACCTCCTTGTCTCTCTGTCCCTCCCATCTCTTAAGCTCATAAAAAATATATGTATGTCAATAAAGACTGTATTGAGACACCTGTATAGTATAAAGAAATGAATATATATGGAAATATTATGGAATAGAAAAGATATATGGAAATAAAATTTAAAAAAAATCTCAATGAAATGTTTTGGTTTCAATCCATTAATTGCACATTTACATTAGATAAAATAAAAATGATTTTTACTGTGTGATAAAGCTAGGAGTGGCTGAAATATGTGAGGGTGGTGCAGGGCTTGTATGCAGCAAAGAAGGCTAAGACTGTTGAAGAGTGTCGTCAGAGTGACAGATGGGTATGGCAGGACTAAAACAGGCTCCAACGCCATGAATATTTGACTGTTCGATCAATACAGTACAGATTGATACAGATACAAATCGAAAGATCGGTACAGTACTGTAGGATATTAATACGGTATCTTGAAATGAAAGATCCTGATATATCAACATATCAATATTTTCTAAAACATATATATTTGTAGACATATGCGAAAACAACAACATCCACCTTTGGTGACTATAGGATGAAATAGCAGCTACTTCCTGTCGTATCATTAAAGCAGGAAACTGTCTTCTAGCAGCAGTACTGTGACTTTACTTGAGAGTGATCAGGACTGGGTCAGATTTGTTAAGAAATACCTCAGAGCCTGATTCAGACTGAGGTCCAAACCATGTTCAGTCCGTATTAAGACCCGTCCTGATCAATTGTTGTAGCAGTGTGTAGTCCGATTGTGTGTCCGTGTGTATTTACTGTGCTGTACAACACGCTGCCTCCTTGTCATCACTGATTAATCCTGCAGCTGAAATCAGTAATCAGCAGCTACAGCCGACAGTCTGGTGTTGAAGAGCGGACACAGTCATAGTATTGTATGAAGGGACGATCGTCAGCTCACGCCAGTGAATTACGGCTCGTCACAGATGTGGTGTCGTACTGCAGACATGTTACACGGATAGACACAGTAGATTGATACAGTGTATAAAATATGCTTGTTTATTTATTTTATTATTTATTCAGTTATTTTTATTAATCATTTTGAACAGTGAAAACATTTGTATTCTGTATTCTTGTCTTCTTTGTTAAAGGATTTTGTCCAAAATAAACACAACCTCTATATGAGTTTGTCCTTGTTATGACATAATGGCTAAAGACAGTACTGTAAAAGTTGTTCACTACAATATTCATAATACAGTGACTGTTTTTAGTAGGAAGTGAGAGTGTTTGAAAGATGAGAGCAAAAATAAAACATGCAGAAAAAGAGATATCATATTCACCTGTTTTTGTCATAAAAAACAACAAACATCATCATGATTATAATAAGACAGAAGATCGAAAACGTTGGATTCACTGGATTTTGTGGCCTCGCTGAGTCAGGTTGTATTTTCAGGACTGGAGTTAGAATTTAAAAAAAAGTTCTGATTGAATTAGTGTTTGGGTTAGAATTAGGATTTGTGTGTGTTTGTGTTTGTGTATTCGTACATGTGTGTGTTTTATTGAGGCAATTTCCTCCCAGCTCCCTCACCCCCCGACTGACAGACACGTCCTGTGTCTCTGCCTCTCTTTATCACTGTAGATCTATATTAAACAGTGCAGCACACCCTCTGTCTCCCTTCTCTCCCCCCACCTCCTTCTTCTCCTCCCCTTTTCTCCTTCTCCTGGTCTACCTGTCATCTCAGCACCCCCTACTATCAGGAGTCCATCAGAACCTGCAGCTCATTTTATCAACTCAACTCATATCTTTTCATATTCTTCTTCTTCTTTTTCTTCTTCTTCTTCTTCTTCATTTACCCTTTGCCCCCCCGCCCACTGTAGTCCTGGCAGTTCACAATGACTTTCCATTTTGCTCTCAGCTCTCTGACATATCTTTCAACTCCCCTTTCTGACTGAGTCTCCAGCCGTCCGCAGGGTCACTGTCTGATTCTGACAGCAAAAACCATGACATTTACCTCTTTAACTGGCTGCGTCCCGCTCCTCTCTGGGTCTCTTCATTTCTTCCTCCCTAACCCTGAGTCTCTGCTGCTGATCCGCTGATACGGCTGCTTCCTCTGAAGAACAGGAAATGAAAATTTTCTTCTTTTTTTTCTTCTCTGCAAGGTGTTGCTCCCGCTCTTTATCGCAGAGAAACCTTGAATCTCAGCGACGACTCTCTCTCACTCCTATAATGAACTAATTTTGCAGGAAGGGAGAATAGCATCTTATCTGTGCAGAGAAGGCCGTCATCTCCGTCTCTCTCTCTCTTCTTCTGTTCTTCCAGTTCATATCATCGTTGCTAAGAGACTCTAAGAGTCCCTTGATCTGTCATCTTTTCATTATGGGCTGCTGAGATAAGATGGAAAATTAAACAAGTGATTTTTTATGACTTAATAAGCCTAAAATTATGACTTTTAGCTGATTTTCTTCCATTTCAAGTCTTTCTTTTTTGTCATATTTAGAGCTCTAACTTAACACTCTGACCTGCTGACTGATACATTTGCATTTCTATCATGTCCTTCTGGGGAGTTCAATCGTTGTGGTATGCAGAAGTCCTACTACGTCAACCAGGTAACTTGGCTACAGACTTAAATACAGCCCCAAACATTTACAGAACCCTTTCTGTACTTTTCTTTCAAGGTTTTGAATAGGATTTTTCACGTCATCAGACTGAACTGTGTACTGGCTTAAAATTCAGTTTATGTTTAAGTAAACTTGACTTCTGTTTTTACTACTTTGTTGGAGGAATAACAAGTAATATAATGAGTAATATATCTATGTAGTGATTTAATAGCTTCTCTGGTAAGTAACAGCAAAATAATAATAATAATACATAAAAACATGCATGTCCTTTTATATTGTTTGTTTTCTTAATGAATAAATAAAAAATATATAAAGCAGATAATGGTCAGTTTTATAGTTTTATACAGTTCCAGTTTTATAAGAACTTGTTATATGCGTTGTATTATATATTTTATATTATATATATTATATATTTATTTATATATTATATATTTTGATACATTTCCCTCCCGACTGTGGGTTGATATTAAATGTGACCATACCTCCCCCTGTTGGCTTTAAAATAAATCACCGAATCACCAAAATTAGCTTGTTGTTACCAGTGCTGCCCGCTAGGAGGACTGGAGCGCTATGGAGAGGAGGAGAGTGAAACGATCAGGGTGTGGACCTGAATGGCATGATGGCAGTAACAGACAGTGACATCATGGTTATTTTATACATAGAGAATACACGCGCGCGCGCGCGCGTACAGACACACACACACATATCTTAAGGCGCGCGCGCGCGTACACACACACACACTTATCTTAACTAACTATTACAAAAGTATGCTTAATCCATTATTCTAATGCTAAAGTCCAACTAAAATCTTAACCTTACAGTGTTCCTTGTGGGGAACTTCCACATGTCCACAAACAAAAGAAGAGTCCCCACAACAGTCATTGTCAAAATAATGTCCCCACAAGTATAGCAGTGTCAGGTGACGAGCTGACACACTGCTCCAGAGCACAGCTTTGATTCTAAGCAGGATTGTGTTCCGTCTCATTGTTCTTATCCAGCCGTAAGTCTCTTAAAGAACCTCATCCTCTTCTCTAATCCTCATCTTAATCTTGTTTCCCTCACACCCTCTCCACCTCCGCTTAGTCACGTCTCTTTACTTTACCTGCCTGCAGGGAAGGGGGGGAGGGGGAGAGAAAACAAATCGACTTTTTTCTTTCTCTTATTTCCGCCTTGTGTTGGCCTCATCATTACTGTGCACTTTTCACTCTCTCATCTTTTTCTTTTCTTTTCTTAAAAAATGCAGTTAGATAATGTTTGCTCTGGCAAAACAGCAGAGAGGGGAGTTCTACTGGATAGTCGTAAAATATTTATGCTTTACATCATTTTAACAGAGCTAAGGGATAAAATGCATAATTCATAGGGGAACACCCAAACTCAGGGAGGGGTGGATCCTGGAGTCATTAGTCATCCTCTCACTTCTTCATCCACAATTGATTTTTGTCTTCTAATTGTATCACTATATGTTTTAACACAAGTGCAAAGTCATCACTGTTTTTTTTTTTTTTTTACCTGCATGGAAATGTTTTCTTTCCAGGATTATTCAGCTTCTTTTTCTTTATCCTCTTCTACTTTGCTCAGAAACGCTGCGTCTTATTAGATGATCAATAAAGACAAAGGATGGAGAGGAGAAGGGAGGATGGGGGAGAACAGGGTGATGAGGAGGAGGAGGAGCTGGAGGAGGCAATGACCCAGATAATGCAATGAGTGAGGCCGTGTATAGACCTCAGCTTCACACCCGCCTACGCCTCATGCGCTCTGTGTCCCCAACACCCACTGCTGTGCCTGCAAACCTGACGAATATTTGTTCCCTTTACTGGGAAGTAGAAAAGAGCAGAAGGAGTTGTAGTGGAGACCGGGTTTCAACACCGGGGAGGCGTCCACATCCTCAGGGGATGTGAACATCTCACCATCCATCACCTTCGTCATGACCCTTTTCTGACTCTCTGACATTCACTCACACACCCACACACATACACACATGCACTCACGACCACACCTCCCCCGACCTTAACCCCACCACAGTCATATCTCATCTCCCACGAGACGCGGGTGATTGGGGGGAAAAAAGCGAGCAGGAGATGTGAGGTCAGGTGTTCTTCTGCTGAACATACTCTGCAGAAACATATAGGAACACTGTGCTGAATTATTCATGCCGCTTTATGTCACCTATCTAATAACATGGTGCACACACACGCGCACACACACATTTTATTTTTAAGTTATTTACTTTAAAAATGCAGTCTTCTCTAAGGCTCAGCTAACCCCTCCTTAAATTTTATCTGCAGCTTTATCTGCAGTTTTGATTTCCATTAAAACCCTGACAGGGGGCAGCATCCCTGAAGAGGACCCACACACTGTGGCCCTTTAAAACAAATGGAAATTTGATTAATATATAATATTTCTAAGCCTTCAAAATATTGTTTTACAGATAAACACACAGGCAGGCACGGATAGTACATGCATTCGTTCAACAGTCAGTCAGTCAGTCACTTAAACCCATTTGACAGCTGCTTCTAAATGCGCATGTGCCTGACAAGCAGCAAGGCATGGCCACTGGTGTCAGAGGAACTGTAGTCGTGTAAGAACAACAAGGGAAATGCTAGCAAAATAAAAGCACAAGCAAGAAACTCGCGCCGTCGTTGTATGAACTTCATAACATTTTAAGGACTAAACAAACATACAACGAATAAAAAGATTATTTTATTTAGCCTCAAATAAATTTAACTTTGTACAGTTGTAGTTTGAATTATGTTTTCTAGGCAATAAATCACAACTATTGATAGATAAACCCTTTTCGTGGTTGTGATTGTGGGTATTGGGATAATGCGAGGTTTAATTTTCAAACATATTTCTGTAAAAATCTAGAAAAAACTCAAACTGCCCTTTTTGGAAATAATTCAGAAACCATTTTAAACGTGAAATCAATATTTCACACACATCTAAAAGAACAACTGTACCTTCGAATTTGTAACTTAAAGACTTGAGCCAACAATCTTTTATGTTGAAAACCCCACTTCCGGACACACCTAGGCTTTTGTGTAACTTGACGTTAGCGGATAAACTAAGCAGCAGTCAGCAAAGAAACAACCACTGGAAGTCGGTGTCGCTTTTTTTTAACCGAGGTCATTATTGTGTGAAATAATGTGTGGTGTCCCGGGGCATCTTTCTCAGAGGTGACCGGGGTGTGAGCAGCAGCAGCCGGGATGGCGCTGGTCACCGTTCAGCGGTCACCGACACCGAGCACCACGTCAAGCCCCTCAGTGTCTGTAAGTGTCCGTTAGTAAGAATGACTTTCTCGTCTCAGGGTGGTTTCGATTGTGGTTTTTGTCTGTCACACACAGACACTGTTATCGCTGCCAATGGATGCTAATGTGACTTAACCCGGCTAGCCTAAGCTCAGCTAACCTGACTTACTAACTGGGTTCAACTAACCTGAACCCAGTTAACTTGGCAGGTTAGTGACTGACTGCTTTGCCATTCGAACAGCTATAAGCAAAAGTGGAA